GGAGGCAATTGTGGGCATGAGGAGACCAGGCAATAAATGGAGAGATGAGAATGTTCACTTGTGGGTAGTAGAGGTGATATGGGCTGGATAAGACTGGATGGAACAGATTTGGAAGTAGAGAACATAGCTAGGTATTTGATTTATACATGCTAAGTTTAAGATGTCTTCTAATTATCCAAGTGAAGTTGTTGAGTAGGAAGTTTGGCATAAGGTTCTGTAGTGTGTGGGCAAAGTCCCAGCATGGTGCTGTAAGTATGGAGTCACTATTGTGGCTGGCATTGAAGCCGTGAGAGCAGATGGGATGACTTAGGGAGAAGAGACAGATCACACAGAACCCAGGGATTGGCACCTAGATGCTCTTACATAGGAAAGCTAGACATACTCAACATTTACTCAATACCCATTCATTCTGTTCTTGATACAGATCAAGATAGAGATCAGGAAAGCAGCAGGACATGGTAGAGGAGAGCAATTTCCAGGATGTCAAGGGTGAACATGACCCAGGAAACAGTTATCTGCTCTGCCCTGATACCAAGATGTGTTAGGCAAGGTGAAGAAGGACTTCTAGCTGTTAGGTTTTATAATGTAAGGTCACTGCCCTGCCAATGACTATTTCCAATGTTGGAAGATGCATGCCTTGTTGACTTGGAGAAATGAGGTGGGCCCTGATGGCAAAGTAGAATAGAGACCTTATCATTTGTTATCCCAGACAAGAGACTGCGAACAGAAGGGCAATGATTTCACCATGCTACTGTACATGGCATGACCTGTAAAGCATGTGGAATGACATGTAGAGCATGTGGAATGATCCATAGAGTACATGGAATGACCTGCAGAGCACAAGGAATTACCCATAGAGCATGTGGAATGACCCTAGAGCACGTGGAATGACCTGTAGAGCATGTGGAATGACCTGTAAAACATATAGAATGACCTGTAGAGCATGTGGAATGACATGTAGAGCATGTGTAATGATCCATAGAGTACATGGAATGACCCATAGAGCATGAGAAATTACCCATAGAGCATGTGGAATGACCTGTAGAGCCTGTGGAATGACCTGTAGAGCATGTGGAATGACCCATAGAGCATGTGGAATGACCTGTGGAACATGTGGAATGATCTGTAGAGCACATGGAATGACCTGTTGAGCATGTGGAATGACCTGTAGAGCATGTGGAATGACCCATAGAGCATGTGGAATGACCTGTAGAGTCTGTGGAATGACCTGTAGAGCATGTGGAATGACCCATAGAGCATGTGGAATGACCTGTGGAACATGTGGAATGATCTGTAGAGCACATGGAATGACCTGTTGAGCATGTGGAATGACCCATAGAGCATGTGGAATGACCAGGAGAGCATGTGGAATGACCTATAGAGCACGTGGAATGACCCGTAGATCATGTGGAATGACCCGTAGAGCATGTGGAATGAACTGTAGATCATGTGAAATGACCCATAGGCTCATAGAGCATGTGGAATGACTCACTAGAGCACGTGAATGGACCCATGTGCACATGGGTAATGCATAGAGCCGCTCTTTGCAGAGGGTAAGAAAGATTTCTCAGAAAGCATCTGTTTATCTCTACTCTTGTTTACTTTCTTTGAAGCAATTTCTTATATGTGAATTACTGATTCTTCGTAGTCCATTGATAATCCAGTTATTTTGATGGATTTTTGGTGAAATATTTCTTCAGAGCTTCTTTGGAGCGCTGCTTCATCCATGGGCAGTTTCTTTTCTCGAAGAACAAATTGACTTGACAGTCTTGATTTCCCTATGCACACTTGAAAAGAGAATCTGCTCAAAGAGTCGATATTCATGAAGTACAGACATGAGACTCCATGCCCCAGAGTTTTCATTGTTCAATTGCAATGCTCTTTAGGGATGAGAAAGTCATAGGAATGCTTTTTTACTATTTAACCAAACTACTGTTATACATATAGTGTCTGATGCATTTTGGCCCATACTGATTTTTTGTTATTTCCAGTAGTTTTTAAGTGCAATGTATTAAAAAAATGATAATTTCCCAATGGATCTAAGTAATACTCTTTTCTACTATAAATGGTATTGTATTTTAATATATGTTCATTGAGAGCATTGGTCTTTTTTGATGTATTTTTATTTTATGTACATGAGTGATTTCCTAAATGTATGTAAATGCACAGAGGCCAGAACAGGGTGTTGGATCCTCCAGAAGTGGAGTTACAGATGATTGTTAGCCACCATGTGGGACCTGGGAACCAAGCCCAGGTCCTCTGCAAGAGCAAGTGCTCTTAATTGCTGAGCTCCATCCCTGGTCTTCAGTTCTTTTAATCTTATATTGTTTTAGCTTTTTAAAGGGCAATGGCTCTGTAAAGCCCTTGCCATGAAGCATTAGAATATTAGTTCACACCCACAGAAACTTGTAAAGCTGGGTGCGCTAGGTAGGACCACTGCTTGGTGTTTTCCCTTGCCAGCTTGCATGGCACTTTCAGATACTGAGAACTAATCTTTCAGGGAGGTCTCCAGGTCAGTTCCAAGTGAATTGCTCCAAGTCCTGTATCCAAAGCATGCCGTGTTTTTCAACAGTAGGGTCTTGCCTTCAAGTTCTGGGAGGCAATCAAGGACTGTGGCAATGGCCTATATTATTTTGGAAATCTTTGGGCTAACAAACTCGAAGGGTGGTTTCCCTTGCCTGCCACTGTGATTTTTGTTATATGATACTTCAACTATACACATACACTCAATATATATGTATATATATATATATCATATACACATATTTTTTTTTCAGGAGGCTTGTTAAATACTGCATTTCCCTTTGGTTTTTCAAAACATCTAAGTTTTATTTATCTCTCTTCCCTTTCTTTCCTCCTATATAGCTTTCCCTCCTTCCTCCCCAGTTACTGTCCACCCCTATTTTCCCCTTTCCCCTTGATAACTGTGGTCTCATATCCCCCGTCTCTTGAGTTCTTTCTTCCCCTCTCCCTCCATGGTTCCTTCCCATTTTCCTGCTCCTGTGGTCACATCAGGGTATATACTCACATTTAAGGATTTGGTGTTAGGATCCACAAATGAGAGAGAATATGTATCACTTGTTTTTCTGAGTGTGGGTTACCTCACTCAATAAACAGTTTTGAGTTCCACCCATTTGCCTGTAAATTTTATTTTTCTTCACAGCTCTATAGAACTCCATTGTGTAAATTTACCACGTTTTCATTATTTATCAATTGAGGGACATTTAGGTTGTTTTCATTTCCTAGCTGTTCTGAAAAGAGCATCAATGAACATGGCAGAGCAAGTATCTCTTTAGTAGGAAATTGAGTCCTTTGGGTGTATGCCAAGGGGTAGTATAGCTGAATCCTTCAGTAGATCTATGTAGGAATGGCTTTTGTAAAATGGACATAATCTAGACTAATGATTAACCTTGGCAAACTCACTAAACCATTTGCTCTTGTGTCCTGGGCACCTGGACTTATTTCCTGGGAACTTCCATTTGCTACTTCACCCAAAAAGATAATGAATGAATGTGGGTATACTTGAGAATTAACATCAACACCTTGAAAGGCAATATACCATCTTTTTGAAAACATGAGGATTGCGAGAGGACTATTACTTGCATGAGATATTCTAGAACTAGGGATGAAAAGCAGGATTGTCTGATCAGGGTGAATTCAACCTTGTACTTCCCCAGTTGAAGATGGAAAAATGGTTTTGAATATAATTAGAGGTGAGGCCTGACTGGATGATACAGTTCCAGACCCAGTTCCAGAGCACAGTTCCAGGGCACAGCTCCAAGAGTCATCTGAGGGAATGGGTGTTCTCTGAGCTCGGACCCACTCTTGAAAATGAAAGTTGAGAGTAAAGTTGTTTTATTCAGTCATAACTGTAATGTGGCATGGTGACACTGCAGATCTAATTTTAATTTTATAAGTGTTCTCCACACTGCTTTCCACTGTGGCTGTACCTGTTTGCAGTCCCACCAGCCTCATCAGTATTTTTTGACAGTTGTCTTCTTGATCTTCCCATTCTCACTGAGATGAGATCTTAAAATAGTTTAACTTATGCCTCTCTAACTATTACAGATACTGAACAGTTTTAAAGGTATTTCTTAGTCATTTTTATTTCTTCGAAAACTCTTCAGATTTGTAGCCCGTTTTTTAGTTGAATTGTTCATTTTCTTGATTCTTTGTATTTTCTTTTAGTTCTCTTTATATTTTGGAAACTAATCCTCTATCAGATGTGTAGCTGGTGAAGTTTCTTTCCCATCCTGTGGGCTCCTCTTTCAATTGTTTCCTTTACTGTACAGACTTTTAGCTTTAATGAGGTCCCATTTGTTGGTTGTTGGCCTTATTTCCTGAGTGAGTAAAGTCTGATTTAGAAAGTGCTTTCCTTCACCAAATCTTATAGGTACTGCGTGTTTTTGCTTGTAGCAGTTTCCTTGTTTTGGGTTTCACATCGAGGTCTTTGATCCATTTAGAGTTGCTTTCTCTGCAGGGTGAAAGATAAGGATCTGATTTCCCTTCTCTATATGTGGACTTCCGGTTTTCCCAGCACCATCTTTTGAAGATGCTCTGTCCTCCAGTGTGTGTGTTGGCATTTTTGTTAACTATCAGGTGGTTGTAATTGGGTACATATGCAGTCCAGCTAACCTGACTCATGCATCTTCAGACAACAAGTACGCTGAAAGGCAGAGACCAGCACCTGAGGATGGTTTCTTAATCTCTAAATGCACACCATGGCTAGTGTCTACTCTCACACATACCCCAATGCATACATACATGCCCACATAATCATGCACATAAAAAGGCAATCTATTTGATTTATAAAATTTTATAATTTATTGTGTGGATTATTTCTCTCCCAGTATTCTCCCAGTATCATTTGTTCATTAGCTTTTTTACTAGCTATATATAAAATATTGAGAAAATGAATTTAAAAGCATGAGATAAATATGAAATGAACATTATTATAAAATAATGTTTTGTTTTGTTTAGCTGGTGAGATGGCTCAGTGGGTAAAGGCAATGTTGTCAAGCCTGATGACCTAAGTGTGATCCCCTGGATTTGCATAATAGAAGGAGAGAACTGACTTTGACAGGTTTGGCTTTGACTACTTGCCACTGTGACACCTGTCCTTTCCAATGTCTCCAAGATTGTTTGTCCTGGGGCAGACTGGCCCCTAACTCTGTAATGGAGAACAGGGATCAGCATACAGCTAAGGTTATTGAAAACATTGTGGCTCTGAGAACAGCTAGTGGAGAAAAAAGTGACCAACACAGAGATTGCTGTTGTAACTGTGCTATTAAAATGCCTGTGGTGGAAGAGCTGGAGAGATGGCTCAGTGGTTACGAGCGCTGGCTGCTCTCACAGAAGACCCCTGTTTGGTTCCCAGCACCATCTGTAACTCTGGTTCCAGAGGCTCCAACACTTCTTTTGGCCTCTTCACATACTGTATGCATGGTGCACTTACACTACACACAGGCAAAACATTCATACATCTAAAATAAAAATAAAGCAAGAAAAAAAATGCCTGTGGTGGGAATCTGACAGACAGACATATTGAACAGATCAAGTCCTATTAATATCTAATCTCTTAAAAGGAAGGTATGAGAAAGTATCTGTCATTGAAATTCATCTCTGTGTGTACTGAAAACCTGGACTGGAGGCTGTTCCAGAGCTACATAGTGGGAAGGGAGTTCAATTCATTTGTGTTTATTTTACCTTTTTCTTTATTCTTTAGGAAATTTGAAGTACTGCCTTGTGATTCTTAATCAGCCTTTGGACAAATGTTTTCGTCATCTTTGGAAAAAGGGTAATGTTAATTGGCATTTCATTTTATTTCTTTAGGGCCTAATAACATGACTGTCAGGTACCCTGTAACCCAACTAAAACATGAAAAATTGGAAGGTTAGGTGATTCAGTTACTTAATTTTAAGAAGAATTTCTTATTGCATCTCTCTTACCCTGCTAATATATGTGATCTCTGTAGCTTGAACCTTTACTTGCAGAACATTATATTTCAGCAGTAGATGTGAGTATTAACGCCTATATTTGTTCAGGTGAAAATGCTTCCAGCACAATGGTAGCAGAAAGCCCACTCTATGCTTATTTGTATTAGCTTCAGTAAGTCAACCTATGTCTGCTGGATGGTCCAGTTTGCAAAATGGAAAAACAGAGGGCATGCTACCTTTTAGAATCAATGTTATTGCAGAAAAAATAGTTACAAATAGGATTATTTTACAGAATGAATGCTTGTAAGAGGTTCATATACAGAATAGACCTTATTGAGTGCTGGGAATAACTGTGTGTGTCACTACACATAGCAACAACTTGGTTCTTGACATAGATGAATATTTCAGTTGTTCTTGACCTTATCATTGAAGAACTCTTTAATAAGAAGAACTGTTTTAATCTCACCACTGAGATTCCATGTCACAGAACACAAGGCTTATAGTTAATAAGCTCATACCTGTAGATGTGACTTTTATTACAAATATTAGAAACAGAGTCAGACATGCTGGTCTCCCGCTCTGATTTCATCTCCTGAGAAAGTGAGACAGGAGCACTGATGCTGATTGGCGAGGGTGTAGAGCAAAATTTTGTCTTAAAATCCAAACAAAAATAGACAAAATGATTGAATAAGCGGAAATGTTGGGTTTTGAGAACAACATGTTAAGAGGTCTTTTCTGATTTAGACACCAAAGGTCCACTTTTAACACATTATGAAGTAACTTTGTGTTCTTAACTAGCCAAAATGTCTAATTTCATTGGGTTTTTCCAGTGAATTGGTTTCATGCCTGTCATAAACTAATCACATGATGTCAATAAAAAAATGAAAATTGTAATATGTTAATAGATAGCACTAAAAGTTTTGCAAATACATTTTATTGTATCAAGATGATTACTTAAACCTCATCTAAAATACCCTTTATGTTATTGAAATATTAAGCTCTTTTATACATACTTAGAGGATAAATTTTGGCTTTCTGGAATTAACCATTTAAGGCTCAGGTATTAGTACATTTGAGAGCAAAGGCAGACCGAGGTTAACCCAAATTCAAGATGAACTTGTTTGTAGGCTTCCCTTTTGTGCTGTTTTTCTTCCAGGTAAAGGCAGTACAGTGGGGAGACTTTGAACTTGAATTGTTTATTGTAATGCGAGGGGCTTAGAGAAATGTGTAGCATGGCATGGGGCATGCAGAAGAGGATGTACTGTACATGCTGGGGTGTCAGCTAGTAAGTCAAGGCTCAAGGTCCTTGTCTGTGCTACTGTAGGTCCCAAATACCCATCATGTTCTCTAAGGTCTGAGAGTGTGAAACCTTGTAAGGAGAGATCTAGTAGTAAAAGTTGGGCTATTAAAGATAGAAGAATTTAAAAACTATTGCATTGCATAAATCTTATATTGAGTATTTGACTCATGCACGAAACTTTCATTATTTTCTAAAATTCATTTTAGAAAAAAGAGTATTTTGAAGGTTTATTTTTTCAGTTACTCTTACATTTAGTTGATATTTGTGAAATTTAGTTTAGATGCCTAAGGAAGAGTTCAAAGATGCAGAAAAATTTTAGACTTTTAAAAATGCTTTTTCCATTTTATACCTCATGAAATGTTGATAATTTTCTTAGACAGAAATACCTACTCTTCCCACTGTTTTGTAGGCTTTTTTGAATCTGACAATTATGAAATAGTATTTAGGTAGATAAGTAGTCAGAATCTATAGTTATATCTAACTTATTTTGTATAGATATCAGGTTATTAGGATTAAAGTTTGGATCCTGCTAGCAAATACCTTCCTTGAACTTTCTGAGTCAGACCAAATTTCTGTACCATTTTATGCACACACACACACACACACACACACACACACACACACACACACACACACACATGCACACACACAGAGCTTTTAGTCATTATTCTCCATTTTTCTGTTTTGAATAATAATTTTTGAAGTTTTTCCAGGTATATATTATTGTTTACATGCTTAAAAAGTCTTATTCATCAAAATGACTTTCCTACTTTATTTTTGAGATGTAACTGATCAGTGTTTCTTCAAGATTTAGGAAAGCACACTCATTCCTGGAGATTCCTTTCTCCCTACACGCTGTCCTTAGTAACGATGCTGATGCTGTATTTCCAGACGACTTTCTGACCTGGCACATTTACAGCCAGTTTCTTTCACTCCACGTCTCCTCCTCACCTACTTCACTTTAACCCTTTTGAACATCTTTCTTGCTCTCTGCTTCTAGTGCTCTTTAAAAAATATTTATTTATTTTTATGTGCATGAGTGTTTTGCCTGCATGTATGTATGTGCACCCATGCTGTACAGTGCCTGCAGAGGTCAGAAGGTCCCTTGGAATTGGAATTACTGATGGTTGTGAGCCATCATGTGGGTGCTAGGGACTGAACCTGGGTTCTCTGTAAGAGCAGCCAGTGCCCTTAACTGCTGAGCCGTCTGCCCAGCTTCCGTGTGCTCTTTTTGTCATTGTTGACAACATGGCTCTCCTTTCGACTCTTTGTTTTCAAGTCTCATGTTTGCTTGTGAGTTCAATGCTTGGCATTAGAACAAAATTAATTAGATGTGAAAGTTGTACTAAAGGGGACTGTGGCAACATAATTTGTTACCTGTGAGACTCTGGTGAGACCTGCCTTACCATGTCTGTTTTATGGTTTCCAACAGAGTGGCCCTTAGATCTCTTTAAACTGCATCCCTTTGCTAAGGCATGTGATGCGCATTCTTCACATGCCTAAATTCTGTCAGATAACACTTTTACTCTCTAGAACACTGATGCTTTGTGCCTCATAGTATTTGATTCTGCAGAAATGACAGAAGATTGATGGGAACAGAGTCGATCCTGGCACAGTTTATAGATTTTTATTGCTGTTTATTTTATTTTATTTTTTAAGAGAGGGTCTCACTGTGTAACCCTGGCTGGCCTGTAACTTGCTATGGTAGTCAAAGCTGGCCTCAAAATCAGAAGTCAGCCTGCCTTAGCCTCCTAAGTACTGTGTGAAGGTATGTGCCACCATGATCGTCCAAAATGTAAGTCATTCTTAATGTCACTATCTCTACACTCTGCCCTGCAGCAGGTGTTACCTTAATTTTATGAAGACAGTCTTTTTGGTTTTTTTTCACACAATTTTAAAGTTGTTTGAGAATCTTGTTCTTGAGTGCTATATTTACATCACTGCTACTTCTTCTCTTCCTCCAACTCCTCCTGTTCCCCACCCCATTTCAATTCCCTGGCTTCTTAATTGTTATTATTGCATATTTATACACATGTGCATATGTAAACAAACTACAGAGTCCATTTAGTGATTCTCTCATGTATATGCGTTTATGGCTGACCACTGGGATTGGATAGCCTATCATGGAGCTTGTCCCTGGGAAAAACTGACACCGCCTCCCTACCCCCCGCCCCTGGTCGCCTGTACCTCTTCTAGAGGTTGGACGTTTTGATAGTCTCCTCATCCATGTTGGCAGGCCAACTGGTGTTGTCATAATGCAGGTCTTGTTTAGGAAATCAGATTGTTGAGATTTCCTGTGTAGCCTCCTGTCATATCTAGAAGACACTATCTAACTTCACTTGTCCTGGTCCTCTGGCTCTTAAGTCTTCCCACTCCCTCTTCCGTGATGTTTCCTGAGCCTTAGACACAGTAGTTGCTTTTAGATGTATCCGTTGGGTCAGCTCTTCTCTGGTTTGACCAGTTGTTGATTGCTGTAATAGTCTCCATTTGCTGCATGAGGAAGCTTCTTTGATGAGGGGTGTTACACTCACCTGGTTGGTGTGGGCTCTCCGCTCCACACCTGAGATGCACCTAGGTGCTGTATTGTTGCGTGACTGGATAGTAACTGTACTATTCTATGGTTTTCTTCTGTGATTGTCTTCATTTCATTTTGCCTGTTCTAACAGCACATTCCCCTCCCCTCTAACTTTGGTATCATAGTGAAAGTGAGAGAAACATTTCTCCAAAATAATCTAAGACCTGTTCATTACTTATTTCCTTCCTTTAAGACATTAATAACTGCAGTGTGTTGCTTTAACTTATGGAATGGATTTTTTATTTAGATCTTTACAAGTTTGCAGGGTCCTTGTTCATATTGTCTACTGTATTATTATTTGGAATGCTTAAGCTCTTTGCCAAAGATATAGTGGATTATGATGGTGTTATTGGTTTCTGTGAGTGTTTGTGGTGTGCTTAAGTGTATATGCTCCAAGGGGCACATGTAGAAGCCAAAGGAGGGTGTTGGGTGTCCTGCTCTAGTGTCTTGAGGTAGAGCCCTGCACTGCAGGCCCCTATAATCCTATTGTCTCTATCCCTGCTACTGCACTGGGCTTGGAGGCATGCATGTGGCTATGTCTGACTCCTTACATGGGTGTTTAGGGATTTGAACTCAAGTACCCATACTTACACAGCAAATAATTTTGCCCACTAAGTGATCTCCCCAGCTCCTATGATGATCTTTTTAATTACTTAACACATGTTGATGGTATTAGAGACAAAGATTTGGAAGGTGTATATTTTTTTCTCCATGAGTGGTTAGACTATTTATCCAACTCTACAGACTTAGGTAACTAATGTTTCTAAATGAAAACAAATATTGGTCAGCGTGCCAAAACAACAACAGAAACAGAATTCCCACAGCTCTGATCTCAAAAAAAACTGAATTTCTCTTTACTTTTTCAGATAAGCATAATATAATAGCAGATAAGGTGAAGGTATAAATTTCATGAGATTTAAGATCAATAGCACTTCAAAGATAGATCGTTAAGTACCAACCACAGTTTAAGTGAGCACTGATGTGGACAACGGATGATAGAGGTACTCTTCCCTACATGTTTTGTCTGCCACACAAAGTAGTGCTTTTTAACTGTGTATCCTACCTTCTCCCATCCCCCAAGCACACTCAAGCTCTGCTTTGGAACTGTGCTTGAAGAACAGTGATAGATGATTTTAATTAAACACTATTGAAGTTTAATAGAATTCTTTCAGTGGCTAACTTTCAAAATTGGATTGAGATTTGGTTGTTTTCAAATTGCCATCTACTCTTCGTGGCCTGAAGTATAATTTACTAGACGTTCTGTACATGCTTGAAGCCCTCTTGTGTTTCTCTGAAAATGAGAATGTTTATGGACTTACCTTCTTTGTGATTCACAGAGTCTCACTCTTCAGAAACGACCTGAACTTGCCACTTCCTCTCTTTTCTTCAACCTCATTGACAGGATGAATGATTGTCTGGTTTTCCTCACGTTATTGTCATAGTCTCACTCCTCCTTCCTCCCACCACCCATCCCATCCAGATATTAATTCTGTGCTGTTCTTCTCTGCTCTCTGACTTGTTTGACACCCTCTGGTTGTCATTTTCAGCACAGGTGCATCTCGAGAACCCTTTGCCTGTCTTATGAGTCTCCTTTTCCAGGAGCTTTGCCTAGAGGTAGAAGTCCAGAGTCATGAGGCTATAGAGTGCTTTATTTTATTTATTATTTTTTATTTTATGTGTATGTGTGTATTGCCTGCATGTAGGTAAGTGTACCTGTGTTGTGCAATGCCTGTGGAGGTCAGAAGAGGCTATCGGATCCCCTGGAACTGGGGTTATGGACAGTTCTTAGCTGCCATGTGGATGCTGGGATTCGAACCCGGGTCTTCTCCAAGAATAGTGTTCTTAACCACTGAGCCATCTCTCCAGCCCCAGCTGTAGAGTGCTTTAAAACTGACTTCTGCCTTTCTTTGTCTTCTTCATTCTCACGTCTACACAGCTAGATACCCAGCTCCCCGAAGGCCTGGTCTTTGATTTCTTTATGCAGCACCTTGGATGTGGTGGTCATTCCAAGAATTCCTTGTTGCTCACCCCTTCTGTTTATGCATCCGTGCCTTCCTATGTGCTGTCTGTCTGTCTGTCTGTTTCTCTGGCTGTGCCAGTTCTTCTTTTTGTACCTTTGTATGTCTCACTATTCATGAAATGAAAGTGATTAGTTAATACAGTGGTGTGGTGTCCAGAATCATTAATGTTTTCGTTTAACTACTTTTGCCAGATACTATTTACACTTCGTCTAACTGCCACCAGTCATTTTCCATACCATAGCTCTGTAGTATTATAGTACCTTTCCCAGTCCAGTAAAACTTAAACCACATAAACAGTAAATTACCATAGGGTATTGTCGAGTATCTTAGTAGATGCTAAGAATTATATAATAAATTCAAAGCTGTGTTTTGGGGGGAACATCCAAAAGAGTGTTAGGAGAGAACTGACTCCACAAAGCTATCCTCTGACCCCCACATGTGTGCTGTGGCATGTATTCCCCTGTCTCATACACACAAATACAGGCACACAATAGTAATAAATAAAAATTTAAATGGAAAATATATTTTAAAAGTTTTTCAGAGAGTACTACTAAGAATGTAGGAAGACAACCAGTCGGTAGCAGGAATTATTTGCTAATTTTATATCTAGAGCATACGAATAACTCTTGCAATTGAACATTCAAAAGAATGCAAGAGAGTAATCTAATTAAAGAACAAATGAAGGATCTGAATAAATGTCTGTCTAATGGAAATGTGCAAATGAACCATGTGTACATGTCAATGAACATGTGTACCATTATTAGACATGAGGTACAGGAAAGTCTGAATCACAGTGAGGTAGTACTTCATACCCTCTGAGCTGCCTAGAGTCAAATTCTGTAAAGAATGCAAGTTGGGGAGGTGGAAAAATGAAACCTTGGATACCCTGCTGACAAGAATGTTAGTGGCAAAGGAACTGTTTCTTGGAAACTGCCTGAAAGTTCCTCAAATAGTTAAAGAGTTACCACTTGACCTGTTCCTAGTCCTCAATCGATGTACAAAAGGAATTAGAATATATGTTCACACCAATATTCATAGCAGTGCTACAGCAGAAAATCTAGAAAATCGCTCAGTGATAGAAAATGACACACTAAAATGTCACAAAGTTTCCTGTGGTCATCCACCCTCTGGTTCTTACAATCTCTGTCTCTTCTTTTGCAGTGATCCCTGAGCCTTGGGAAGCAGAGGTTTGAAATAGGTGTCCTATTCCGGGTTAAACACTTGGTGGCCTCTTGTTCTCTGCACATTGGCCAGTTGTAGATCTCTATGTTAATCACCATCTGCGCATAAGGAAATTTCTCTGGGGAGAGTTGAGAGATGTGTGTGGAGGTCGCATTGAAGATGTGTCACTTAGGGTGAAGCTTCTCACAAACACTCTGCATCGGACCAGTTCTGTAACTCTGTAATAGTCTCCATTTCTTGCAAAAAGAAGCTCCTTTGGTGAGGGTGAAAGGCACACTTGTCTGTAAGTGTGAAGACACTTATTTACAATAATGAGCTCATAGCCACGATGGCAGCTTGCACAGTCCTGTGTAACTCAAATCCCAGTACAGGCATGGGGAAGTAGGCAAGAAACCCCAAACCAGCTTCTGGAACTTTTGGTAATTGATGACTTCTGGGACGGGGAGAGACAGTGTCCTACAGGCATGGGACTCTTGGTGGGAGTCTGAAGGGCATTTCGGGACACAAATCATAGTCTCTACACTGTATATTTAAGATTGTACATTAAATTGGTTGGTCCAGGGCAGTGGGAGAGGTATGGATAAGGGATCTAAATACCACAAACTATGTTGTCTGAAGATTACAAAATTTCAATAAAAAAATTTAAAAAATGTTGACAAAGTTGATGAACCTTGACTTTAGTAATCTAAATTAGGGAGTGCAGGCACAAAAGTCTGCATCTTACAATTCACTTAATACAAAGTGGCCCAACAGTCAAGTCTACAGAGATAGGACCTGTAATAGTGGATGCTTCAGCCTGGGTGGGGAGTTGCAGAGAGTTAAAGTTCCTCTTATGATGAAGAATGTGCTCTTAAGCTGACGGTTATGGTGGCACACAGCTTGATGAAGATATTAAAACACCTGAATATGTATTGAGTTTGTTGATTTTGGCTTTTTTTATTTTGCTTATGAAATATATTGTAATAGGATGTTACCAAAAACAGTAATAGTCCATAAAAATGTGTAGCACCCTCTCATCTTTTATATCAATTTAATTTAATATTTGCCTTGACTGAGATGTTCACTTTCCCTAAGTGATTTAACTTACCAAGATTTGAATACTCTGTCATCACTTCTGGAAATCTTCATGGAGTAGCAGCCAGTGGGTCTCAATCTGTCTTGTCGACATAATTACCTAGAAGGCCTTAGCACAGGTTTGGAGTGGAGCTCACAAATCCACACTTCTAGTACATTTGGCTTGTTTTTATTTATGTATGTATGTATTTATTAAGCAAGTGTGCTCTGGTATCTTTTAAGAATCAGTGGTTTAGGGACTAGAGAGATGGCTCAGCTATTAAGAGTGCTTGCTGTGCTGTGGAGAGCGGGCGAGGTCGAGCTGCCAAAGATGGCACCCTGGCTGGCTGCCAAGCCTCGTGACTCCACTTGTTTGTTCATACTCACGCAAGCGCTGTGACTGTTATCACGTGCATACTGCCTGGACTTCTACATCACCACCCGTGATCGCTGTTGGCTGACCTATGATAGCCCTTACTTGCCCTCGTGTACAGTACCTGCACGCAACATGATTGGAGGACGAACGTCCACGTATGGCTGGGTGGGATAGTAAGAAAGTATATCTGTTGGCGGTTGAGGGAAGAGAAAAAGAAGAAAGTTCCTGCCCATGAACCCCCTTGGTGTCTGTGTCGTTCTTCCTGGACTCTGCTGGACGGAGTCTTGGTTTGCGGCAAGTGGTGGCCCATACGGGGAACATTCCTACCTAAAGAAAATAAGGTAAGGTCCGCAGGTAAGCGGCGGAGATCTAGCGCTAGTAAAGTTCCCAGAGTAGAGGGACGGAGAGAAAAGTCCACGATCAAATGGCGAAGCATAGAATACAATGGG